TTAATTAATATGGGAGGCAAGAATAGATTATTTCTACGGACAGGCATAAACCACAGGCCGGAGGGCTTTGCGTTAAAAAATTATTTTAATTCTGTTTTCGATTTGGTTTCTGTTTTTTTTGTCAGTATATTAAGTTCCACTAATCATTATAGCCTTCATGCAACAATAAATAACAACTGGGGGGGGACCCTAAAGTACCCCTTCCTCCTTTGTCCATGACTGTAGCTGGGTTATGCTCATCCATGCAAAGCGTAATTTAATATTCTGTGATGCTATAATTTAAAAGCATAAGAGCGTGGAAACATTGATTGGGATCTGATCAAACAATAGTCAAGAAGGGACGGCCCCCTCATCCCCCCCCCCAACATCATTTCCCTGAATATGATTTTATGGAGGATATAATTGAGCTAAACTCATGGTCATGGTGTTGGTCAGATATGCAAGGGTCTCCTGAAACAGACTTAAAAGACATGAATCTCTTGTTACCCAAACAGTCCACTGCCCTGCATGCCACTGGCATAAATAAAATGTTTTGCAGTCATAGAAGGCATCAGGAGCTTGCTGCAACCCCTGCTTGGCAAGTGCCACTAGAAACCAGTCTGGTTTGGCCTCCTAAACCATGAGCTCAGGACTGGAGGTAAGTCTGAGATGCATTCGTTTGGAAACATGTTCTCACATGTGGCATTCTGGATTAGAAAAGCTCCTTCCATTCTTTATTTTGTTTTCGGCCTTTTTCTTTTCGTTGCATTGAGCAGACAAATTGGTACGGTTTATAGATCTAGATGGTCAGCCGTGTTGGTCTGAAGCAGTAGAACAAATGTAGAGTCCAGTGGCACCTTTGAGACCTACAAGATTTTATTCAAGGTATGATGAGCTTTCGTGTACATGCACACTTTTTCTTTTTGACAGAAAGGGGTATATGAAAAAGTGTGCATGCACACGGAACCTCATACCTTGAATAAAACTTTGTTGGTTTTAAAGGTGCCATTGGACTCTAAATTTGATATGGTTTATGTTTTTGGTACTTTCAGATTGTCTCTTAAATTTGCAGTAGATGCAGGATAAGTGAGGGTTAAATGGTTCCAGGGTTCCCAGAGGCCTCTCCTTCAGAGAATGCACACGAAAAAAGTTCACATTTCAGCAACCGTATCAACAGCCTGAAAGATCCTCTCCCCTGTTACACACACACACACTCCTACATTCTTTCCAACAATGATTGCAGATAGAAATCTGGGTTCGACTGATGGAAAAAGTACAGATCATTATCCATGGTGATTCTTGACTGGCTATTTGTTTCTCAAGCTAGACATGTTACTGAAGTCTGGAGGGGGAAACAGTACTAAGGCTGAATATTTTAGTTCTCTCCCTTTTGAACCCTCATCCAGAAAAAAATATCCTACCAGCCATTCCAAAATCTGTCACACTTCAGTGAACCTGCTTTACTAAGCCTGTATTTCCTATTTTTGCAGTATCTACTTCCTCATGATATTTCAGCTTCTCCCCCCCAGTGAAGTCACCTGTATCCTTGCAATAATTTTACTTCTTTACATAAGCCATCATGAGAAACTCTTCCACACAAAATCATTTTCCCTGAAAAAATCCCGTCTATGAGTGCCAAACTCTCTGTACACTTAGGATGATTTAAATAAGTTGCACCAAACCATCTGTATGCTCTTGAGTCTTGACATAAAGTCATTTTGTGCAGGTTTATGACTACAAAGCCCATTATGCAGTGTCACTGTGAACAAAATATGAATGGATAACAATATCCAGGGCCTTCAATGGAAGTAAGCAATTAACAACATGGGGGGACTAGCTAGGCCAATGAAGCCAACTGCCATTGGATCAGGCAAAGCGATTTTGTGTAAAATTTTCCTATTTTTTGGTCTGCAAAACTGGCACTGTAAAATGGGCATGCCACCTATAGATTCTATGCCTGAGTGACTCAAGTACTGGAAATCAATTATATTTCAAACAACTTGTCCAATTCCTTCCCCCATGCCCAATATTCTTTCAGTACACCCCAATATAAACAAATAGAGAACCATATCTCCTTCTTTGCTTTTAGGTCAAGAAATCCTTTGAAGAAAGAGTAGACTACCCGAGAAGTTTGTACGGACTTAGGCTTATGCACAACTTTCACCATTCAGAATATCACTGTAATAATACTGACTCTCATCTTTGTGTTATTCTTAGAAGGGTTGTACAAAGTTTGAAAAGGGTCTGTCCTACACAGACTCCAGTCCTCAAAAGATATGCTTGGTAGTAGCATACCACAATTGCCAACAACAGCGGGAGGGCGGGCTTCAGAGCCATGAAGGAAAAAGAGAAGAAAAGAAGAAGAATCCAGCGATATATGTTGCCTTTAAGTTCCATCAATTTGTTCCTATGACACAGATGTCATGAATCCTTCTCTGGAAATGGAACAAAATCAATGAGATTTAGAAGAGCTTCACTTCACTTGTACTGTGCCCTTGCACAATTGCTTCCATTACTGTGTGGTAATAGTGATGCAAAAGAGCTTCACTTTACTTGTACTGTGCCCTTACCTTCCATTACTGTGTGGTAATAGTGATGCAACTGGTAACAATCCCATTGCTAGTTGCGAAACGCCAATTAACATGGAAATCTTAAACACAGGGTGAGGGCTAGACCCCTTTCCCCTCAATTTCACCCAGAGTTCCCCCCTGCTACAGCCTCCATCCTGTATGGCTTTTGTCTATCCATGTCTCAGGATCCCCAGCATAATCTTTTGGGGTGTTCAAAGAGGACCCCTTTGACAGAAAGGGGAAAGCTGGTGGGATCCCACCCCTAGCCTTTGAACAACATGTTTTGCTATAGTTTTGAACACACCATTTTCCTGAGTGCAGCGAAGGACACAGTCTTGGAATAATTGAAGGTGCTTGAATATTTGTGCAAATATTTCTGTCTTGAGGACTATGTTTTCCTGGCCTTTTGCACTTCATGACTTTTTAACCCTATCATGCGCACACACATACACAGAGTGAGTGTGTATGTAAACCTTCAATTTAGGATTCACCCCAATGCATCTGATGAAATGTGCTGTACTCATGAAAGTTGCCACAATAGATCTGTTTGACTTTATGCTGCCACAAGACTCTTATCTGTTTGTTTCTTTGTTTGTTTTGGAAATATCCGTAGGTTATTATCCTAATGCTAATCTGGTTATGATCATGTATGCCACATTCACATACATAGATTTGGGAAAGGGTGTGGGGTTGTTATTGTTTTGCCACTTTTAGGATTCTTGTTACCCCAGATTTAGGGGTTTCTACTTCCTGAGGATTTGAACTGACAAATTTTCCTAAGCTTTCCTGACTTCCTCACTGAAGTTTTCCAGCCTGCTTCCAAGTAAATTTGTGGAAGGAGTGGGTGGGTGGGAGAAATGAAAGGCGCTTGAACACACCAAGCCCTCCAAACGTGTTAATAGAATTTCCTTTGGATTCCTTAATATATCCGTTTTTCTTCTCCAGTCTCAAAAGTGTCTTTCTTCGCACCTTTCCCCAACCATTTTCTCATCAAACCTGTGAATAAATCTCCTCTCAGGAATTCTGATGAACGCCCAAATTCTTTAGGGTGTTAGTAAAGCCTGGGCTGTCAGAAGTCTTTGGTGAGAAAAGATTGATCACTTCTCTCTCTCTTCTTCTCCCCCACGCTCTCGCTCTACTCTCTCCTTCTCTATGCCTGTGTGAAACTGCCAAAAAGAAACAAAATCCGCCTGGAAATATTCTGGGTTACTAATTGTGAACTCTCATTGCTGTTTTTGTAAAACACAGACTCTTAAAGCTCAGTTGATTGGGTCTGGGTGTATGTAGAGGAATAGGGAAGGGAGATGTATTATCTTAATTTCTTTTTTAAAATACTTTTAAAGACAACCCTTTTCGTAATCCTTGCCAGGGGGAGGGGAGGGATTTTTTCCTACCAGGTCTCTCCCCACCCCCCCAAATCACTTAAAAAGTATCAGTTGCAGAAGTCCTAGAACAGGACAGCTTCAAACAAAAGTTTTTCAAACCAACTTTCATACTGACCTGAATTTGCCAGCTGTGCTACTTAAAAACAACAACAAATCCAAGTAGATTTTCAACCCTGATCTTCCTCCAGGTTTTTTTTTCTGCAGTTTTTAGTGTCTCTCTGGTTGTGAAACCAAAACATTTGTGATTTTACTGGGAGGAGTCCTTCTTCTTCAGCCTTCACGCCTGTCCTTTGTCCTTTGGGACAAGAGGCATGGTTCCTTCTTCTCTGATTCCTTCCTGGATGGGATGGCTACCAACAGCTATAGCCCTGGTAGTGCAGCAGGAGCTAAAAAGTCAAACTGGAGCCACCAGCCGCTCTCCACCTCTCTCCTCATGCAAACCTTCCAGGGCATTTTCTTTTGGACAGCGTGTTTGTAGTCAACTGAACACCAAAATTCAGTAAGGTATTCCAAAGTCCTGCTTCTGTTTATTATTATTATTATTATTATTATTATTATTATTATTATTATTAT